CAGGGCCGTCTTCCTCAGCAAAAAAAGAGGAGGATTGGCGGATGTTAGCTCAGGGCTGATCTCCTCACAAAAAAAAAAAAAAAAAAAAAAAAAAGTGGGGCCTAAAAGAAAAAGAAAAAAAAAGATGAGACATGTATAAGCTTTGAATTTTTTTTTACATTCACAACATACATTATTAACTAATTAAATAAACACTTAGCTTACTTCTCTACTTTCTTGGCAGCTGAAGCTACCAAGAAAAGGAAATACTTCTTGATAAAGAAAATACTAATATATATTTCCAATTTCAAAAACCTATGCATCAGTAATGAACAATTAAAAACATAATAGTTCAAATTTGCAGTAAAATAAGGCTGCCATTCTCAGAAAAAAAATTTTTTCTTCAGATTTGAAGACAACTAAACAGACTAAAGAATATCTGCATTATGTCATAAACAGATTTCCTTTTACTTTTCCCTCAACTGCTCCGCCTGCAAAGAAAGAGAGTTGCTAGAGGACCTAAAGGGTTAATCTAATCCACCAAACAGTGAGTGCCCACTGAGAGTATTTCCCCACCTGGTGGGGGTCAAGAACACTAGCTCAGGGCCTTACCAGAATCATGCAAACCATAGGTTTAGAACACTACTACTGACACTTTGGGTCAGATAATTCTTTGTTGTGTGTTTGGGGTAGGGTGGGGTAGGATATGTCCTGTGCAGTGTAGGATGTTTAGCAACATCCCTGGCTAGATGCAAGTAGCACCCCACCTTCAGTTGTGACAACGAAAAAATGTTTCCAGACAGGGCCAAATGTCCCTTGGAGGGCAAAATCATCCATTTGAGAACCATTGGTTTAGATGTTAGGGTCCCGGGTCTTTGAAACAGGAGGCCTCCAACTACAATTTTTAAAAATTAATTTTGATGTTAAATTTTAGATTTTAAAAAATAAGATGGTAATAGTATAAGAAGATACCTAAATAATGCCTATGCCATCCTCCTTTAGGTTTAAGCATTTTTAGAGGATTTTGTAACATGGATTTCATCTATGTGGATACATTGGTCTCCTGCTCCCCACTCCATCCCAAAGTGGGGAAATGTCCAGTTCTCTCCCCAATCTGCTAATAAAATGTCAAACACATACATACATACATTCACACATACATAAGAGAACCTAAACAATTCTAACTTGCAAATCTCCATTTCTTGCCTTACACGGCCACATTGTGGTTCTTGAGCCATGCGTCCTAGCAATTCAAGCTTCCACTCTTCAGATTTCCTCATCTGGTTCCTACCATCTATTTGTGAAGCAAAAAGGAAGTAAGCTGATGACCTTAAAGGTCTGTTCCAACCCATATTCAATGGCAAAAATAATCCTTCAACTTTTACTTATTCACTCCCAGCTGACCAGACCACCTCTTGAGATCACTGAAGCCAATCATGCTAATTTTTTTCTTTCTCCACACTTAGTATTAATCCATGCTGAAAACAGTTATGTCAGTTGTTTAAAACATCACTTATTAATACCAGTGATCAGCTGTTTATTCTCTGACTCAAATAAAATATTTTAAACATATAAATTGATTTTAAAGAAAAACTTTTCAAGAAGCTGTGAGCTGACACCATTTATATGAATGAACCACAACAGGCAAATACTGAAATAGAAAGCAGATCAGTGGTTGAAGGCCTGGGGGTGGGGTGGGGAAAATGGGGAGTACCTGCTAATGGGCAGGTTTCTTTTTGGGATGATGAAAACGTTCTAAAATTAGATTATGCTGATGGTTGCACACTCTGTAAATATACTAAAAAATCACTGAATTTTACACTTTAAATGATTGTACTTTACTCAATAAAGTTGTTTGTAAAAAGCTAAAAGCAGGAAAAAGGAATTTTAATCAACTTTTATTGAGAGGAAAAGAAACGTGATTAAGAACAAATTCTGCAGTTTGCCATTTCATGAATTATATAATATTTGATTTTAATTCTGACATAAAAACTTAATACCCATCCAGAAATAAACTTTAACTTTTCCAGAAAACAAACATATGCAAGTTTAGTCATCTTTTCCTAGTAAACCTTGGATAATTTGAAAGCGATGAAAAACATTTCAAAGAGCCAAATGCTAAAGTAACAATACCTCTACAAGAACAAAATATATGAATATCATCAACAACAACAAAACATGAACAGTCTTTACAATTTTGTTGTGATGCGTTCTTTACAAAGAAAACCATTACAACAGTTTTCATTTCTTTTAAAACTGATCCTCAGACTGTAATGTCTGTCCTGGTAGTGTGATAATTCTGAAGTTACCAGATCATAATTTAAAAATAGCCAAATCACAAGAAAATTGCAAACATCTAATCCCCCAGTCACAACTATCAATCACCCAAAATTTGCACATATTGATCGCTTTTACCAAAACCTATCACGAGCTATGATGATCACTTGAACTATCAATACCAATTTCTAGGAAATCAGACTAGGACTGCAATATTAAAAGAGTCAAACGAATCCCATCATTCCATCTGTTCTAACATAACCGCTTAGAAATCATTAAAGCTCTCAAGGTACTTTTCCAATTAGAACGCTCCATCAGATTTATAAAAATCATCCTGAATGTCCATCAAAATCTGCAGTTTAAGTTACAACAATAAGACATTTCTCAGTATACTATCATGATATCACTTGCCTCGTAAGCATTTACTATTAAGATTGCCCTGCGGTTTGACAAATCAGAAACAGAGCCAATTAAAAACAAAAAAACAAAAACACTACAATTTAATTCTTCGAAAGTAAGGAGAGCCTCAATAAAGACAGAAAATAAAACTGGTTAAAGGCGAATTTTAAAAAAAAATTGCAACCCGGGTCAGCTAAAATGCTAAAAATATCATCCTGAACTCAGACCAAGTGGTTAATTACAATGGGCAGTCAAAAGTTCTGTTGTCAAAGATGGGAGGGCAGGGGAGGCCTGCCTTTCTATCAATGCAGAGACGGAAAGAAGCAGAACTGAAGAAAATTAATTATTTAACAAATTATTGCGAGCTACATTGCCAAACTGCAAAATACCGAGTTAGCCTTTAGGTTAGCCTTCCCCAGGAAGACAAATGATTTTTTAAATTTAAATTATTCCAATAGGATAAAAAGGGGTCTAAGGGCCCGGCTGGAAAAAGAACGGGAAAGTTTGGGGGCAGCACGCAAGAAGGGTGGCGGAAGTTCCAGAGCCCGGATCCCGGAGAGGGGCGAGAGGGGCAAGCGCGGCGCCTGAGGCCGCCGACTGGAGGCGGGGAGCACAGCTGCCCGTCCCGACCCCGCAGGGAGAGTGAAAAGAAGACGAGGAGGTGGCCGAGAGGGGAATGGAAGCTTCCGCGCCGGTCAGTTGTGACCAAAACTCTGGGCGTCGAGCCGGGGAGGAGACAGAGGGGGTGGGGTCTCGGTCCCCGTCTCCACAGGAGGTCGGGGTGAGGTGGGCCGCGAAGCGCTGGGGGCCGAGCGAGGCCGGCCCGACACCTACCTGCGGGTCCCGGGCAGCCGCCCCAGAGCGAGGCCTAGTGCATCGCCGCCGCCTCCAGCCCTCCACGTCGCGCCGACGCTGCTGCTCCGCGGCCGCCGCCGCCCGG